AAAAAAAGGTGATTTTTGGAAAATTATATTAAAAAAACTACTTTATCAATCATTTCTGAAATTTTTGGAATATATTTATACATGTTTTAAGAATACATAGTAAAATTTTTGAAGAATAAAATTAAATATTTTTTAAGTTATCGTCGATCTCCAACGGCGCGACAAAAAAAAAACCCTTCACTGCTGCAGTGATTCCGACTTTCTACGTGGATGAAATTTAAAAAAAATTCTCGTTAAACTAGATAATATTGTCTGTAAAATGAACTACGATTAAGAAAAAAAAAATCAAAAATTGACAAAATGACGACGTTTTTTAAAAAAAACTCTAATTTTACTTTAAATTTTGGTCGTTTTTCGACTGCCAAAATTCGATTTTTGATCCGATCAAAAAATCGATAGTTCATTTTACGGAGAACTATATATAGAACATGTAAAAAAAATTCGATAGTGATCGGATCATTTGTTTTTGAGTAATCGCTGCAGCAAATTCGGAAAATGCAGTTTCGAGAAAAACGCGTTTAAAGATTAAATGATCGATATACTATATACTATATATATACTCTTTAAATGGCTGTAACTCAAAAACGATTGAAAATTTTGGTATGTTATTTTTAAAGGTATAACCTATCGAGATATGGAAAAATTGAAAATTCGATTTTTTGACAATTTCACACTAGTTGTGCCTCTTAATACAAAAAAGTGTGCTACATCGACGTTAACCAGAAATTAATTAACCAAAGCAATTCCCAACGTATGCCTCCAAATAAAGTTTAGTTTATTTTAAATTGAGTTACTACATTCTGAGAAAGCTCTAATGTCTTAAATTGTCAATTTAAAAAAATGGACCGAATGATCGATTGAGGACTTTTTTAGAAATTGGGTCGAAAATATATAGTTAACACTAAATAATTATCATACTAATAAAATTTATATGTTTGAAATGTCCATAAAATATCCTACATTATTCTGAATAAGTATTATTCTAAAATATTAGCATATTCGAAATAATTCACGTACGATTAATGTAAAAATTGGCACCGATTGAATAGTTTTTTGCAGGTTTACAAATAAAGCCAAAAAATTGTTTGACTGTTACTAAAAAGAATCTGTTCAACCGAACAGCGCAAAAAAACTAATCAACCCTAATAGTCTTATTGAGCTTCATTTAAGTTTTTAAAATGTTTTTGCTATGACCAAAATAAATTAGAAATTTAAGGAAAAATATTGATATACGTATAAATAAATGACAATAAACAAAGCAGAATGTAGTTCATAATGTCTCATACATGATTTTTACAACACAATACGACATCCATTAAAAAAAGATAAATACCATGCAACAATAAATAAAGTAATAATCATTGCATATTTTCTGAAGAAAAATAACATTTTTTGGGACGTTATAATAAATGGAAATAATTCTTCAGGAAAGCACGCTCAGAGTTACTAAAAATATTAAAATTTTTATTAGATATATCTTGTATTATATCATGTTTTTTAAAATAGGTTTTTGAAATATTGTTAAAAATACTTTTAAAAATATTTTATAAAAAACATGTGCTTTTAAGAAAATTAGTGAATCTTTACCTGATATGTGTATCACTAATACCAAAACAATTATTTCACTTTTTCACTTTGAACAGAAAGAGAAGAATGTCTTTTTTGGTAAAAAATAAGATTGGTGAAAAGAAAATAAGCGAGTTTTTACCTGATATGTGTACCACTAAATACCACTAATTAAAAAAAAATCATTTCTTATTTTGAACAGATACAGAAGAGTATCTTCTGCTGGTAATCTTTTTGTAAAAAATAAGATTGGTACTCAATTTTATTCTCACTTTGAATTTTTATAAATTCGAATTTGCTGGCTGCTGTTCAAGTTGATAAAATTATATATAATAGGTGCTTCAATTTAAATCAAATTTAAATCCAATCAATCACATAATAGTTGGGTGTCATTCGAACTAATGATTATAGGTGGTGTATGAATAATGATTAGTGTTTAAATATGTTATTTAAAACATTAGTCATGCAATATTTGCAAGCAATTTAGAAATGTGCAACAACAATGAAAGCAAGCAAGCAATATGATACAATTTTATTAATGCATAATGTTTGACATAGCAGTAATGTTAATCATAATTATAATAACATGAAGAATTACATTATTATACAAATGATATTTTTGAATAACTTGATGTAACATGATTCATATTATATACTTTGAATTTTTAAAATAACATTCAAAAACACTTACGAGTAAAATAAAATGACATGAAAATGGACAGATTCGAATGTATGTAAATTTAAAAACGTTTACTTAATGTAATAAAAAAATTTATATTCATAAATATATATATATATATATATATATATATATTTGAATAATCACCACTGTTTTTAATTTTTTTAAATTTTCATAACATTTTGCTTCTGTCCATATGATTTAACAATGAATGAGTATAATTAAAACATGCCATTGAATGGGATAGATTAAAAACTAATTACTAAAAACATTAAATATCTTTTTGAGTAAAAATGTTAAACATTCACCAAAAAGCAACAAAACCTTGCCATGCCAAAGCTATATAAAATTATACTATATGCTCAAAAACTTATTTTTACATTTGCTTAAACATACATATGAGTATATGTATGTCAATTTTGAAAAAAGTTGCACATAAAGCATATGAGTATGTTTTTCCATAGCATTTGCATATAAACCTAAACAACTATTAAAATATTGCACGATTAAAAAGGCAGCAACATTCGCTTGAGAGTTCGAGTGATTTGAAATTTAATTCCAAATATCATAAATATAAATTTCTGTAAAGTTCTTAAAAGAAAAGTGAATAAACTACAATTCCAAATATAATTTTTCCATTCTGTTATATAGTTAATAGTAAAATTAATGAACTTGGCAATTGGATGGCATTTGCATGCTGTTACTAATTCACCACAATCGTTCAAAATGATACTTTTGTTTTCTGAATTGGATGTGACTCGAAGGGATTTAAAAAATGTACTCAAATGTGTGATAAGCTCATCATCATTTACTGCATTTTTTAAAGTAGATTCAGTTTTGGAAAAATCTTGTATTTGGCTTGAGATATCACATAACTTGTTGTAAATGTTTTTGTTACATTTACAACCTTGTGATTTAGGAGATTTTTTACTAGGTTTCCTTTTACTTTTGGTTTTACCATTTGGTTTATTTATATTAACATTGTAAACGGTTTGGGAATTAGAACTTCTATCAGCATTACCACAATTACAACCTTTACTGGTTTGCTCGACTAAATTATTTTTATGAGACATCTTGGCTTTCTTAACAACAGGCTGAACCGACTTAAACTTGCTATTCCTATTAACTTCCAAATTTTCTTCTATCTTTTCGGTTTCTATTACTGATTTTTTAATTGGTTTATTCAAGCCGGAAACCAATGGAGTTGAAGCAATGAACTTACCGCGCAAATTCTGGCCCTGGACATCGTTCAGGATTGCGCCGCAGGCTCTGGTCATGACTGCTTCCAGACATCTGATGTTCTCGCGGCAGGTTAATATTATTTCAGCCTGAAACCAGGGATTGTTAAAGTGTTACAGGTAACTGGTTAATTAAGGTCTACTACATTTGTAAATAGATCCAAAATAAGCATGCAAAGAATATATTATTAAGGAAGGGCCAATAAAACAAGCAGTTTATCATAAAACACTTATACTTCTTCACCTGATTTTGTTTTCTGCTTTTTGGACTTAATTATTACTATTTTTCATTGTGCATCGTAAACATTTGTAATCGTAAAATTTTGGAGTAAAGCTATTAATATTTTTGAAATTTCTTGAAATTGGGGAAGACTGACATAAAGAAGTTGCTAGCCATAACCAAAGAGTTCTCAAAAAGTAGATTTCTATTGCTGAACTAGTGTATTTACAAACAAAGTAGATGGTAGTGACCATTAAATGGTCACCATTTAATAGAAATATGATTAGCCAAATATCCAAAACTAAGTATTTGATTGACAAAGCTAAAGCTCAGCTTTTTTTAAAAAAACTGTTCTGAGGAAGAGCGGGGTGTTAAAGGGTCCCAGGTGGTAGCTATATTAGATGCTACAAGAAACTTTATTTTTCGTTGAAAGGAAAAATTCTTTAGGTAAATGTTGGGATAATCTTCTGTGACGAAAAGCAAACTGTGTTTTTTACAACATAATTGAATTTGAATAGTCTTGTTTTTTAATTGAACAGATAAAATTTGTTCTTTGAATAAACATTTTTGTTCTTTGTGCTTAGCTACGTATTATAATTTTATATCATGTTCGTATTTTAAATTTATTCAACTGCCTTTTTTTAAAAAATACAAGTTTTTCTATTGATAATATTAATTTGCAATTTATTTTTTGAAATGTAAACCAATTCTATCATATTTTGTACAGGACTGCATAACGTTCACTAACTGAATTCAATTTTAATTGAGTATTCTACATAAAGGTTCATATAAACTTTATAATTATTTTTATTAGAAAGGCTTTATTGATTAGATACAAATTGTATCTTCAACAGTATCAACATGTCCAAAAAAACTTCGACTTTTGGAAAAGTGCCTCTACAAAATATATAAAACTTTGTCATAAAATAAAGTATTGTTATGTATTAATTCCTCGTTCAAGAAACATTCAAATTTGTTAATATCCAATATTCCATAACTTTTGTAGAAGTTCAATTCTTAAACACAAAACAATCAAACGTTTGAACTATTCACCCCACCGATTCACAAAAAATCTATGAAAAATTATTTTTAAAGTTCGGGATATAATATTAAAAAAATACAACGTTTTAATTGAAAGTTTGCACACTTTTGCAATTTATACTATTATTTGTCATTTCAACTTCCCTATTTTTTCTCAATCAATATCATCTTTTAACTATTTTAAATATGATTATGCAAAGAAAAATGGATAAGATAAATTTTCATAAAGTACTCTTGTTAGGTAATAATTTTGGAAATAACATTACAGATAAGTATACGAAAGGAGTAAATTAAACAACAATAATAGTGTAACATTGCAATACAAATTTGGACATAAGTATTTACCATGAGTAGTTTTCCCTAACCATTCTGATTTTGTTCTTCAATTTATTGAAAAATATTTTCACTTGTTTATTTTAAAGAGTATACCAAATTTGATTTGTAAAGGAGAATAGGGTATATAAAAATTACAAATAACAATGAATGCTTAAGTAGACTCCTTCTGGTCGACAAATTGGCCTCCACTTTAAATTCTATTGCTCTTGAACACTTCAATAATATTTTCAAGACTTATTTAAACACTGTATTTTTGGAGTTTCTTCAAAAAATAGTTCGGGAAGAATTAGGCGTTGAAATATATATTTTTATCGAAAAAAAAATGTTCTATATAGAAAGATGAAGCATTCGAGTTAAAACCAGAAAATATAATGTTCAAAACATATATGATGGCTCAATATTTCATAAAAAATTCTCTCTATATAGACTAGAAAATTAGACCCTGCAAAATAATCAATGATTTGATATCACAAATCAATTCGAAATTTGAAGGAGAGGACAACTTAAATACCAATATATTACAAGATGAAGCATAATAGAACAGTGTGTTTGAGAGTTATATCTTGTAAATAGCAAAATCGATAATAAAATCTTGCAATCTATCATAGAACTACACTTTTGAACAGAACATATGATTGATATACTTTAGCACTAACAAATAGCAGATTTTAAATAAAATATTTTTTGGTGAATGTGTACACTACTAACGTTTCACTTTTAGCTCAAACAAATAGAAATCATCATCATTTGAAACATTTAGAAAAAAAGTGCCATAGCATTTAAAGATGAACATTGTTAGAATTTAATCTATATGATAATAATTCTTAGAATTCGTTAGAATTTAATCTATATGATAGATAATTTGAAGGAAGATAAACTGTAAGGACCATAAATATCTAAGAATTGATTATTTTCAGGCAATACGATTATTATAGGGACTGAAAATAACAGAAGGCATAGCAAATTAGGTTTGCAGAATAATAAACACAGAAAAAGAAGACTATTCTATGCTTTCATGTATTTTTGTGACAGACACAAAAGTAAGACAATAAATAAGTAAATGACCAGCATACATTATACGCATCATAGCAAGGAATACAAATGCTACTATTGAATGAGAGAAATTAAAAGACAAAAATACATAGAATTACAAGAATTAGAAGGAGATGCGTTTCGAAGGATAATAAAGACATCTATTAATTGATGATAAGGCTATCTATCAATTGATAATAAGGATATCTATAAATGAGAGAAATTATAGGTCAAAACTACATAGCAAATATGAGAATTCTAAGGAAATGTGTTATAAGGATGTCTATTAATTATGCAAGCTCACATTTAAAATCTTTTGAATGTAAAATATTTTTTCTTGAGCAAATAAGATGTTTAAGTTCTAATAAATAATACCACACTTGTAATGTAGTAGAATCACCATGATTGTTTGCGAGGATATCCGTGAAACTTCAAATCATATTTCTATTTTAATGCATTTTAATCTAAATTCATGAAAAAGCATTTTTCATGTAACAAAAAACTGTAAAAATCATTCTATAAAATACATGCAAATCTAACAGAAATATAAAGCTCACACAATTAATAGCTCCTAACAGATTCATTATTACCATGAGTTATTTTCATCAAGTGTTGATTACAAATATCTTAAAATTAGATCTAGAATGCTATTAAATCTAATACTGATGTTTTTGTTAAAAGTTAAATTAAATGATATGCGTGCTAATTATAAGCAAAACATTAGTACAAGCAAAGTTAAATTAGAATCGACAAAAATTTAGTAGTAGTAGTTAACACAAAACAAATATAACCCATATGCATAAAAAATATAGAATGTAATGCATATAAGAAATGAATAAAACAACAACAAAAAATTAAATCAAATATATAAATATTGTATTAAATACTGCAAGATTACATCATATGTACATTAAAAATACTGTTAAATCACATTATGGAAGTGTATCATTAAAAGTAACTTATATAAATTAATTATATATTTAAAGATTAAAAAATTAGCACGCATCAAAAAAATTTACAATGCAAAAATTCAAACAAAACGTTTCTGCAGTAGATTTTCTAGCATAATAGAGCATAATACTATAGGGAGCAAAACGATCAAACTGCCATGCAATACTTTGTTAAAATTTCTTACATAGTCCCTTGGTTGGAGAATAATTCCTCTGTCCATTTCTGATTTGGGATCGTTGCTGCACCACAAGGCTTCGCTTCTGTCCAATTGAACTTTGGATTCAGTCACCAGTCTTCGTAGCTCATCCAAATCCGAATCACTGTCAGTCATCGTATTAGAACGCATCTTGAGTTTAAGCTTGCTGTTACTTTTTCTTTTCATGGATTCCATATCTGCTAAATTATTTTTCATTCCACAACTATTTTTGCGTTTCGAAGAGTTTTTACTTGAGTCACTATCTGAAGTCAATTTGGAGCTTCTTCTTTCCTTGCTTGAGCGACGTCTTTGATGCAAATCAGATCTAATCTTTCTACGGCAATCCAGATCTGTGTCTTCAGAATTATCGAAAGAATAATCATCTATAGATTTTCTGATGTAATCAGGTGAATTAGCTATCAAATTTTTCAAGAACTTCTTATTGCCAACATCTAGATTTGTTCCAAAGTTTGACAAAGACGAGCAACAATCTGATTGTGAATCTATATAATTCCTATAATCCTCACCAAAATCTAATAACCTCCTTGCTGCCTCAGTATCTACACATTCAGAATAAGACTCTGACAAGTACTTATCCTGATAATTATCCCAAGCTTCAGAAAAGCTACTGCTGTGTTCTTCAGATGTGACAATATTTTCCAGGATTGGTGCATTTGTTATATTTCCACCGATTTCGAAATTTACTGGCATAGTGGTTAAATGGCACTTTTCATTAGTGAGGTGTTTGAGGGTCGGTGAAGAGAGGATGCGTTCTAAATTGATCTGAGAGTGTCCAGAGAACGATCGGGATTTTACCAGGCTTCCTTGTTTTGGAGAGTGTTGTCCGGCCGATGATTCGACTGCATAGGCATCGTTGCTGGATTCACTTTTTCTTCCCTAAATGTAAAAGAAGAATTATTAATTTATAAAAATTTTGTTCACTATGCTAAGTAATAATCAGCTTTAATAATAAGTTACAATTTCAATAATAAAGGTAAAAAATATAAAAGGGTATATAAAAAATATTGCTCTGGAAGAAAAAAATTGAAACTTTAATATGATTAAATCCTTAGATGATAGTTTTAAGTTTTTTATATATAAAAAAAAATATTTATAAAAGTATTTTATACATAAAAAAATTTATATATAAAAAAATTTTATATATAAATATATATATATATATATATATATATATATAATATTGTATATAAAAATATTAACGTATTCTCTATATATAGTTTTTTTTTTCAAGAAACTATATATAGTTTCAAAACTATATAGTTTTTTTTTTTGAGAATACAATCAAGAAAACAACTAAATCCATATAAAGTTTTATAAATTAAATTTTTTTTTCATTGAAAAATTAAAGACCAACTAACCGCGATTACATTTTTTTTAAAATACACAATTTGTTACTTTTCACAAAATTTGTTTAACTATATAATGATACTGATAAAACATTCAATAAAAGCACTGACATAACATTTGTAAATTAATCACTTTATATCCAAATAAAATTTTGAAATTCCGGTAGTAATTTTCCACTCAAAATTCTTCACCTTGATGGTGAGAATATATATAAAACACAGGTAAAATCAATGGGGATGCTAAATATAGATAAATTATAACAGTAAACATTATCAAAATAATAGTAAATTTAATATTTTGTTAACACTCATTTTTAAACAGAATAACTTTGATTAAACAACACTTTGATATAAAAGACATACTAAAATACAATAACATTTTGCATTAGCAAAAATGCTCGGATCATCCCCTCCAGGATACAATAAAGGCAGGGAAGGTATTCATCACCAAACGAATACCGTTACTTTTTTGAATATTTTATTTGATTAACCAGAATATTAAAATGAAACACTGGTTAAATTTTTAAATAAAATATAATTTGCCTTGATGAGCGCAAATATGCATAGAAAAGTAATGCAAAAAGAGTTAGATTTTGAACAATAAATTTCTCTTTCCTCGGAGTGTTAACTTTTCTCAAAACTTGTAATTGTTTTAGCTAAGTTACCAGTGATAATCAAAATAATATTAATAAGGAGAGATGATTTGATCAAAAATTCAAAATTACTACTCGTTTAGGAAAACCGTCTAATGAGCATTTTCTTCTAACATCAGGTTTTAACTTCAAGCAAATACTATTTCGCTAATAGTTAAATATTTGTCTGTTAAAAAATATAATAACGATTACTGTTTACTTTTCACTTACGAAGATACAAATATTTAAATTCCATTTTAAATTGACTAGGATATTTAAATATGTAAATTCAAATAAAAGTTGTCAGCTAAAATTTACTACTTTAGAAGTTCCAACTTTGCAATAGGATAATGGAAACATATTTCTAACCTTTATACAAATATTTTAAAAAAGGCAAATATTAAACTAGGTCCATAATTTTGTAATCAGGTAAAAATAGTACACCAACCTGTCTTTTCTTCAGCCTGAGCTTTTTCTTCCTGATATCGAACTTATTATCCGTTCTGCCGAAATCTCCGTGATAGCTCGCCATGTTATCCAAAATATGCAAAGCCGATTCCGAATGACTGAATTGTTGTGCCATTTTGTTCTTTTGTAATCCATCAGTTGTAGTTTCATTTTGTAAGTTTTCCACGTTCAACATTTCACCATTTGGGGTAAGTTGGGACACACATGAGACGGACCATGGACGAGTTGCTGATGTTTTACCAGATCGCATAATAACCTAGATGAAAAAAATTCATTATTATGGAACAGATAGTTTTAAATCTAAACGCAGACAAAAAAGGTAATAACTAAATACAACATTTTAATAGCTTTGTTCCATATTTTTGCAAGAACTTTTTCCTTCTACTTCTCTACCATATATGCAATTATTAGCATAACATTTTATTATGCAGTACCAATAACAGATATTCTTTCTGAAGTCATTATAGGATAACTAATTCAGACTAGTACTGGGTTATAATTGAATACATTTCGACAGTTTCAGTATCATACTTCTTGTTTTGAAGTTTTACTGATACTTTTGTAACAAAGTTATATGTAATTTTTAACAAAACATTTTACGATGTACTATATCTTATATATTTTTTATAAAGCCAAATTTACAGATTGTTAGCAAAACTGTTGAAATGTTGCATCTTTAATTATTTATATTTAGATTAATTAATTTTAATTTCATGGCCGATAGTTTATTTTTCAATCTTGAATCTTTTGTTAATTATAATTTGTTGTTTATTTGTTTTAGTTTGTTATAATTTTATTAATTGCATTTTTAGGCATCGATGCCATTTTAAGCGTCTTTCTTTGTAATATCGATGTAAATTTTTGCTTTTTGTAATGTATAAAATATTTATACATTTTATATTTTATATAAATATGGCTCATAATCAATAACGCAAATATTAAAAAAAACTTTCATACCTGCTGATGGAAATCATTAAGATTCGAAATATGTACCTGATTTCTATAAATTTATTTTTGATAGTCAATTATAAAAGACCTTTAAGGATAATTCTCACCTTTAACAATGAGGACGTATTCAATGTACAATGAAATTTCGAAAACTATAATAGAATGGAACTTGCATATAAATTTATTATTGTAATTTTGTAACAAAAAGAGGTAAATAATACACAAACAGGTAAAATAATTTTGATGCTGTGTATGTATACACAGTATCAAAATTATTTTACCCTGTTTATTTACCTATTTAGTGTACTAGTATACACTTATACAGTAACCAAAAATATTAATAAAAGTTGATATTCTACAAAGATTTTAACACAATTAAATTTTTTAGGTTTCTCTAACAATGAAACATACCAGTCATTGCAAATTGTGGTTCATCGGGCGCGTTATGATAGGTAATGATAATGTTTAAAAGCAATTCAAGTTTTATTATTAGATATTTAAAGGTGTTATATTAAAAAATAAAAACTATGCTAAGTTACAAAAGTTACTTAAGTCAAGAGAAATAAAAAATATACCAACATAGGTAAAAATGCATAAAATGTAAATCAAAACCAAGTTAACCAGCAATCAAAAATACATATTAGAAATTATTAGGGCAAAAAATTACATATTTTTGAAAAATATTGTAAAATTAAGGTTACAAAAATAATTTATACAAGTTAATATAGCAATAATAGCAATAAACTAGGGTTTGACGTTTCTAAAAAAAAATCGTTTTTAGGAGAGAACTATATGGAACCCAAAAAACAGTTTTTAGTAGAGAATACCAGTTTTTAATGTATGAATAACTCTTCAAAAAATTTAAAATAAAAAATATAGCCCAATGTACGAGAGACTGTTGGAAACACTGTTTCAAAACCTTAGTTTAACTATAATAAAAATATTTATACCCTTATATGTTAGAATTATTGAAAACAACGAATAAATAATTGTTTTTAAAGTTGTCAGCTCCTGGTCAATTTTTTTTGTTCTAAATTGCATAAAAAATTATTGTCAATGTCAATAAAGTTAAACAGTAAATAATTTTAGTAAGAAATTGCTTTTAATCACTCGAAATTTTCTATTAAATATTTTCTCTGCAAAAAAAAAAAATTTCCCTTAATTATTCGAGCAAATTTATAAAAACACGAAACTAGTTAAAATCGACTTTTTGGTAATAGTGTTATTTGAAAACCGGTTTAGGAAAATTTTAGGTTTTATCAAATTGCCAAAAATATTACCTATAAATTTTAAATTCTCATTTATCCCTTACCTTAACTGGAGTTGGACTATCCGGCGAACTACCCCCGTTACCCCCATCAGTCAAAGGCACAGTGGGTGCTCCATTACTATCCGTATCGATCAATTCCGTGGATGTCGCTTGCGAGTCTCCAAGAGCACGTCGGTAAGTCGCCACAGAGCCCGAGGGTTCGCCGGAGCTCTCGGCCGATCCGGCATGGGCGCCTCCTCCGGCTTCGCTGTCGCTGCTGGAGGTGCACTCGCCTGATGCGTCGCAACTGTCGAGGGGGGCGCTGCCTGATGGGGAGGTGGAGAGACCGCAGGGCGAACTGGATTTGCGGAGCCATTCCTAAAATAATAATGGAAATTATTAACAGATAATGGGAGAATTATGAATATTATATTATTATTAATTATCATCGGGCTCGCCCGTAGGTAAGCGGTTAAGAGCGACGGGACTTGTTTCAGAGGTCCCGAGTTCGATACCCTTTTCGAGCAGCCTGTTGTCAAGCAACATTGACAACGATTTTCACTTGGAAATATAAATAGCAATATGTTTCCAAGTGAAAATAGCCCTCACCCGGCATTGTTGCACCATACTTGCCCTATTACAGAGATTGTAATAAAAATTTATCATACAGAGATGTGACAACTGTTTGGGTTGCCATCTGTGATAAAACAAACGTAGTTTGTAAGATATTAATCACAACTGCTCATAGAACCCATAAGTTATGATCGCTGTTCAAATAAAATTAAAAAAAAAAAAAATATATCATCAAATATTTCCAACACATTTATTTAGGTACACACAACCGTCTCTAAGAAAATCATGGCAAACTGTTTTTTTGAAAAATCTTTTTTATCAAGAGAAAAATCGCTCAACACATTCAATGCAAACCTTGTTTTCCTTACAGAGAAAGTACGGACAGAAAGACATGGTGTTTTGTTTTTCATGATATTTATTTATTTAATCTTATTATAACCAGTCTTAATCGTTTCTACTAATCTTTGGTTCATTCACTACCAGTAAGGGAGCGTCATTTAATCACGTGAGGCTTAAACGGAGAGAGGGGGTTTGAGAAAAAAATCACGAAAAACCACGTTGAGGGAGGGAGGTCTAGTAAGATATCACGTGTTTTTATTTTTTACCTGAAATTAAAAAAACACATTTTTTTTAAAAATATTTAAATAACATAACAATTTTTTTCTACGCACTGTAAACACACGTAATGTTTGGTAGGGGAGGGAGGATAATTTTAAATAACACCAAGTATCACCAAGGAGTCCAAAAATCCTTAAAAAGCGATCACGTGATTAACGGACGTCCCCTATTATAGTAATAGTAGATATCATTAGTACTGGCATAAGTAACTTGGTTTTAATTGAAATAGTTACAAATATCAATGATTAGGTTCACAAAATACTTGAGAAAACACACTCACAATAAACTTTTGAAAGCGCGAAACACGTTTGAAATGATTACTGCATAAGACTGTGACAATGAAGCTCAAAATCTGACTGGATTGTTATTATGGCTTTCTTCATTTTATACAGTCGCAAAAGTCTTACAAAAACCAGCCAAATTTTAAATATGGCCACTTTGTCATTTCTTTCATATATTCCATTTTGCCTGTATTTCTTTTACTTCTTGTGCTAAACGGCTATTGACGGACTCACGCAACATATGCGTGCACCAGTGAATGTGTCAATTGTTGGCGATTTGTTACCCTTTATACATAGCATATGAATTATTTTAAATAAATTGTATATGCACATATTAACTTAAACTATGTATAATATAGTATACGCTAACTAACTAATTAATAACTATAGTTAACTGATGGCGGGTTAGTAGCTTTTTTAATAATCAGAATTCATTTAAAAGTATTTACAACGAACATTAGATTACTTTTATATTTAAAATTTAAAGAAAAAAAAAACATGTATAGTCGACTCTGTGTGAAACGACGAATTAATAATGTGATCTAGTAGCATAATTTAGGCTGAGGCAATTTTAATATAATATTTTCACTTATTTTATAGAATAATCATATATATAAAGTTTAAGCAACAGAAAAACTGGCAGTTTTTTTAAAAATATTTACTACTTTTGTGCACATTATAAGAAAGCTAAATAATTTCCGACATTAAAGATAAATAACGTTTGAAAATATGATATATTATAATTAACATTTTGATGGAAATATTACCTAAAATAAAAACAACAGAATTGAGAACAAAACTTTTGAAATTACTTTTAACTAGCGATGTACCAGTTACATCATGTTCTATGCGAACGAATTTTCTTTTTTATTGGCCATAATATGCGATAGATCATTTTAATCAAACTCACAACAATAAATCAAAATTTTTTTTAGAATCAAACAGATTTTTTTTTGAATTTGGGATGTAACGCTAATTTTTTTATCATTTCTTGATTCAACTTACTAATAATATAAACCAAAACAGTTTGAATTCTATTAAATATACTAGACAATAAGATGTATGGTGAAGTATGATGATCAAGAAAAGTTTCTTCAATAAAATCAGGTTAACGATAAAAATCAAGCATAATCCAGGGCAATAGTGAAAAACTAATAATTAACCTACATGAGCAAATATTTTAATAAAATATACAGACATTATTACGTCAAAACGTATCTAAACATATAATCTCTAGTAATTAATCACTTCGTTATTAAATTTTATAGTCAATGATTCAAAGTGTATTTGCGACGAACGTACATGATTAATCTATAGGTAATGAACAAGTAATGAAAGATTAATGAAGAAATATATCGCAGAAAAAGTATAAGAGTTTAAATTAATATTCATTATAACGTTTCTTCTAACCATTGAAGTGGTTTTTATTATACAGGAACCGTGTTATACACGGGAAAATTATGTTTATAGGAAATTACAACTTGATGTGTGTGGTTATAAAAAATGGAACATATTGGTAATAGATTTTTATAGAAAAGGTCTTACAAGTTGGCAGAATTATATCGCAGGCATTTTATGATTATGAGGCCATGGTTAAAAATAAAAAATTTTGGTGATCTCAAATTATTTTGGTGGGGTGCATGGCATCGTGCCTTAAGGCAAATTGCTGGAACTTCCCGTACCATAATTAAAAATCTTGGTATGAAATCCAAAAAAAATTACACAAAATATGTACACATTATTAAAATCTCTATAAAATATCTGATAATTTGATGTACATATGTCCAATAAACATTTTTGACCGCAAAATGACATTTTTTTAACTTATTTTTATTGAGAGTCCATAACCGCTGGACTTGTCTTCCCAAAAATTTAATCAGTCATCTTGTCAATACAAGTAAAATCTTTATTGAATTATTAAAATCGGACGCTCCGATCTCTTAAAAATTTAGTTACCGTTTTTGGCACTTTTGCCCCGTATCTTCGGAACGGCTAGACCTGCCTTCGCCAAAAACTAATCAGCACGTCTCCTTATCAATACAAATCGAATGTTTTTTGAATTATTCAAATTGATTGATCTGTGTTCCCGAAATCGTCGATGAAAATTTGTATCCGCACACACACTTACATACATTCATTTTTTCTAAGGTATGCCAAAATGTTCAAAAACCTATGGAACGTAAAGATACATAAAATTTTTCATTTTCGATTTTTTGCGATTACTATAACTTATTCTACGGAAAGTTAATAAATATGATTTTTATTATTAATATAATCCAAAACTAGTTTTAGCCAGATCACGGTTTTGACCATTACACCACGTTGGGTTCAATTTATTTCCGAACTACATATTTAGTTTATGAATAATTGAATTACTTACCTTTATCCTTGAAGCATTATCAAAATTGCGAGATCTGCCTTGTTTTCCAATTCTTCCACGATCAGTATCTTCTCTTACCAGGTGTTCAGCCTCTTGCACCAGTTTCCTAATATTCTCCTGAGTCTTCCTCGTCGCATTCTTCCTAACTGTAGGAACAATGACTTCTTGGTTATCATTTACAGCATTATCCAAATTTCCTGCATTATCCACTTGGTTGTCCAATTTACCATGATGCTGCCCGTTACCGTTGACCATATTTTCCAGTTTCTCCGACATGTCCTGCTGTTGTTTTTCGTTGTCACTTTCCGAAGACATTATGGCGAATTCTTCGGCATCAAATTCTGATCCTGTCAAGCCAACGTTGCTGTTGCTGCGATGATCGATTTCGGAATCGGTGTCTCTGTGTTTGAAGTAAAATGTGGCCACGTTGTCAGCGGTTCGATTCGATCGGTTGTATTTGGAAATTTCGATGTTTTTCACACGTTTGATAACGGTGTCGGTGATTTTGGTCAGGACGAAGTCCTTGTTATCGTTGAAATCTGAGTCTAAAAAATAAAAAAAAATTGAAATTACTACACCATACACTTATTATGATACTATCGAAATGTTAATCCAAAAATATTAAGTTATGCAATCATAGCATTTTCATTAAAATCATCAAAACAATTTAAATATAGAGACAGTCTCAATGTTGTCTAAAAGGTGTCCATGAAATTATTTTCACCATATGGGTAATATAAGCAAGCATTTCAAAATATTAAAAATCAGTTTTCAAGGAAGTTCTAAATGTGCAATAAAATACACTATTGCAAAATATTGTATTGAAGAACACATGTTTAAAAAAAATCTAGAATTTTTAAAATTTACCAAGTGATTTTTTTTTTTTTGAAAAATAGAAGTGTAGAGGTTTGAAATTTTGTGCGCAATGACTTGGCAAGCAAATGATTTAGGATTATATTACATCAGAGGTCTGAAATATCCAAAAATTATTATGAATTTTTTTACCTTACATTATATATGGATGCATTCGACCGTATTCGAGAATGCAGTTTATTTTTTATAATCCTAAATCTTCAAAGTTAATACATACAATACATGCGTTGCTAGAACATAGTTATTTTTCCCAAATATATCTTTATCGGTCAATTGATTGCAAGAACATGCTCAAATTTTGCGTAGAATATAATTTACAAAATCTAATTTATTTCAAACATATTAAGAAGATCTACAATTCACTATTCCACATGTCCAAATTCATTAGATCCAAAAATGTTATTAACAGATAATTATAGATTATGATATTAATGATATTCAACAAGCAATAAAAAACAAGCTGGTTAGAAGTTTTAATTAAACTACATGATTATCAAATATCTATTCATTCATACTGATTTGTTATATAAATTTAAATTATTGTATCGAGGATAAAAAATCTATAAATTAAAAAAAAAACTCTATAAATTATTCCACCAAAAGTAAAACGTGCAATGAAAGACATGCGCCCATCACCTCACCTTTTAATATACCGTTCTTTTTGTTGTGTAAACCTAAAATAAACGAAATAATATTTTATATTTATTAAAAAAAAGATTTTTCAGATACTTTGCAAAGTTAGTAAATATAGACTTCGGTCCCAGCAATCATAAAAACATTTGTTAAGTATTAGAACTAAACTAAAAATCTGTATAAATTGTTGAATTTATAAGAAATTGTGTCCAAATTTTCATAATGTAATAATATTAGATTATTTTTCAAAAATAAAGGATTATACTTATTTATTGATCTATTATTCTTATTTAAATATATAATAAATGTTATTTAAATATATATAGTATAACTGAAACAGAAGCTAAATTATTTTTTAAATAGTCATTCAAATTTAGGCGAGAAATTAAGTAGATAGTAATTCAAATTCAAATTTAGGCGAGAATTAAATAGATAGTAAATATACTAATAAAAATTAATTAATTAATAATTCATTCAAATTTAGGTGAGAAATTAAGTAGATAATATACTAATAAAAATTAGGATGAACACTTTCTTCCAGCAATAAGTTACTAAACAATTTCACCGTAGATGTAATACAAAGTATTATTTATTAGTTAAATATAGATAAATAAATTTATTTATTAAGTATAAATATTGGCAATTTATTAAAATAGACTTGAATCAATTTATCAAACACAATGGGAACAAATTTACTAATTGTAAGAAAATATATCAACTATAATTATAAAGTTATCAAATCATCGTATCAAATTTAACACCTATTATTTTAAGTCTATTAGTTTTAATTAGTTCCTCATGTGGTAGTTAAATATTTTGTTTTATATATTATTCTTTTCAAAACAGTAAACGCCCTTGATTTTTTTTGCAGTACAGAATAAGTCTTACAAGCTCCAGCTTAAGATAATTATATTTTATATAGAACATAAGCAAAAAAATAACCTTGATGATCTCAAAGATCTTTATTGTTGAATCCGTGTGAACAAAAACTGAATTGTCATCGTGTATTATGTAAAAAGTGTTATGAATAAGAAGGATTGACGAAACTTATTTTGTATATATGACCCATGATATAATAGAGTGAAATAACTTTCAAAAATAATTTGTCATTTCTGATGACATGTTTGATGAGTAATAAAATGATATATTTATCTGATCAAAATAATATATAATTTCTGTGAATTTCACCACATTTTTTAATAAATGCTTATCATACATAAGATTTTTTAATTGAATAAGCACAATTTTTTCTTCTTTTGTTTTTTTACTACAGAAAAGGTAAAATTCAGTTAAAGTCAGAAGAAATTTGAACAAGATACATGAAAAAGTTGTGCTGAAATGAAGAAAAGAACCACGTTCAAAATATTCTCCTGGAACTCCTCATTTTTAAAACAAAGTCTATTTTTATTACTAAAACGGTGTCATTAACAAGATATTTAATTTTAGTGCATACCTCACTTTGAGACTTTAAAGACTTCATTACGAAGTTTTGTCAAAATTCGTTTAGAAAAACAAGAATAATTTATATTAGAAATTTCAGTACAAAAAGAGAGAGCTCAGTATGCAATATTTTTTCATGTGAAAATTAATAACAATGAAATCAAATTATTGTAGGTATTGCACATTGAGTATAATGAAAAACAATTTGAATAACAAAAATTATAATTAAGTTTTTTAAGGTAAAATTTTTTAATCTAATACATATGTAGACGACAGAAAAGCATTTAGTAACGGTGTTCTTTATTGGAACAAATATTGTTGAAAAGATGAGATGTGGATAAGATTTTGTTTAAATCTTAAGCAAAAGCTTATATATATATATATATATATATATATATATGCTTTGGTCTTTTACCATAAACATGTCATCGATCTCTTTTCATCTGCGAAAATGTATACTACACCGGTGTGAAAATTGTGTAGCGTTTTATATGTTTTACTACTCTCAAGTTTCAATCTTATGTCAACAGACAAAATAAGCAAAACTATCCAAATGTCAACACAAAATAAAATATTCCACGTCGGCTTCCTTTGTAATCTTAATATAACTTTGCTGTCTTTAAGAGACTTACGCAATATCTCTCTCCATCCATTTATATATAATATCTTAGCCTCAATGTAAGTACTATAAAACTATAAAAAATTTACATAAAAGTTGGAAAAGCTTTCAAAAAAATAAAGCAAACAATAGTATATTCCGTGTCTATCAATTTTTACAAAAATCAATCGTTAATTCCATTCCAATTTGAAATCGCATCAAATGTAAGTGAATTATCATTGACATGATAATATATATTCAAAAAAGAGTGACACTAGTGATGTGTATTATGTGTATCAATAAAAAAACTATTAATCAATTTGTTGCATTAAATTACTATTATTTTTGTTTCTACTGACAAGAAGCAACAGCAAAATTTACTGAGCAAAGAAGAATTTTTGCTGTAAACTGTAGATACAAAGTAAGGATCTTAACAACATGAAAATAAAAGATGTCTACGATTTTCCAACTAAATGCTTTGATAAATTATTATTAAAAGAAGCTTTTGAAATCGAAACCTATGGTATTCCTAATTTAATAATTATTAATTTATGCAAAGTATAATTACGCATTGTTACTATTTAAAAAGTGCTGGTCTTCCATCTGACATTAATATGTACTCATCAACTCCCGAAATTTTTTGGAAGACTCATATGAAGAATACCCCAAAATTATTTTTCAAGATGAATTTTGATTTAGAAATCTTAGTGTTTCATTAAAAAACTATATAGATCTGGAAACTGTATAGTATATCAATGTTATGTTTAAACTAGCTGTAAGTGGAATTCTGTCTTGAGGCAATTATGGCATCGTGCCTTAAGGCAAATTGCTGGAACTTCCCGCACCGTAACGAAATGTTCGAGGAATACTGAATGTTTTCAAATAGATTATTATAAATATTGTAACATTGTGTAATATTTATAAGAATTATATAAACCGAATTGCAGAGTTGAAATTATTTCTAAAGTATATTAGAACTATAGTCAGAATTAAAATAAAATCTGAAATATTTTCGATATACAAAGTACTAAAAAAAAAAAAAAAAAAAAAAAAAAAAAAAAAAAAAAAAAAAAAAAATTGAACAAAATTTTTTTTTTTAAAATCAATTATTTTGTTAAGACAAGCAGAAAGTTCTTTGAATCATTTAAATCGGACGCTTAGTTCTCTCAAAAACTGCCATTTTTACATATTTAGCTCCGTATCTTCGAAATGGCTGGGCCTGCCTTTGCCAAAAAACTAATAAACACTTCTCCCAATCATTACTAATTGAATGTTTTTTAGATCATTCAAATCGGATACTCCGTTCGCTCAAAAATTCGATTTCTATTTTCTGCATTCTTTGCTCCGTATCTCCGAAACGGCGTGAACCTGCCTTTGCCAAAAACTAATCAGCTCTTTCCCAATCAATAGGAATCGAATGTTTTTGAACCATTCAAATCGGTTGATCCGTGCGCCCTAAAACGTGACTGGAAATTTGTATCCACACATACATACACACACACACACACACACACACACACACACACATCCATTTTTCTGAGGTATGCCAAAACGTTCAGAAACCTTCAAAACGTCGAGAAATGTAAAAATTTTCAATTCCGATTTTTGGCCCATTACAATAACTTACCCTACGGGAAGTTAAAAAGTGATAGTCAAAGTAATTTTTCGTAGAAATCACCCTACACCACTTGCACCACAAGCAATTTGATATAAATATTTATGTTAACCTGTGTCCATATCGCTTGAAGACGTGTCCTTAATAGAAATCCTTTTGGCCGTCCTCAAAGCTCCGTCCAGTGATTCGACGTCCGCCTCAGAACTGGCGCCACTTGCAGGTGATCCAGATGGGGCCCCCTTGGGCGGGCAGGTTAGCGCTGATGATTCATCCTCCTGGAAAAAATACTTCTTTATTTCATTATTTTGTACAGCAATCAGAATTTAAGAGTCGTTTAGGCTGTTGGGCTAATTTGACTTAATACTATGCCAGTTTTACAGATGGCAAACCAAACAGTTGTCTAATCTCTGTGTGATAATTTTCATTATTACAATTTCTGTAATTAGGCGAATATTATATTGATGCAGCAATGCCGGATTAGGGCTATTTTCACTTGGTAACATATTGCTACATTTTTAAGGATAAACCAATGTCACTACTGCTTGAGATCATACTCCTCCAAGCGGGATCGAATCCGGGACCTCTGATTCAGGTCTAGTCGCTCTTGCCACTTACCAAAGAGTGAGCCCCAATTACGACAGATAATTGATGAATATTTTGATAATTAGGTAACACAATTAGTAATTGAGAACACTTGAAATGTATGCAGAAACATTCATCACATATGAGAATACAGCGTAGGAGCGCTAAATTCAAAATTCACAAACATTTCAAAGAAAACCCATTTTCCAATTCATGCTAAAAATTCCTTTCCATGACCATTCCCCGAATAAATTCCAATTAAGACCTTCAAGGCGAATCGAATTCGTTCCATCTATATTTTACTGGTGCAGAAAATATATCGATCTACCAACTATCGAGACGTTTACGATCAATCGATTATGAAATTAAATCCAGCTCGAGCTGCACAGAAAATCATGAATCAGAAATGCGAGTAATAATTTAAGCATTTAAAATAATTAAAGATAAATTATGGACCATAGGAAATGAAAGTGGATTTTAATAGCTGATCGAAGTCGAAGCGATAAAGTTGATCTAGATTCGATTTCGTTCGACATATGTCACGATCACAAAATATGATCAAGAGAAAATAAGAATTCAAAACTAGTAGTGCATGACATTGTGCCTTAAGACAAATTGCTGGAACTTCCAGTACCAAAAATTGAAATTTTTAAATTGCAATCGTTTTTGAAAAACTGAAACTTTTTGAAATGTTTGAAAATAAGAGATTTTTCTGAAAATTTTTGAACTTGTTTTCAAAGCAAATTTTCTGAAAATTTTGAACTTATTTTCAAAGCAATCGTACTGCGTGAGTGTTTTAGAGTAGAAATATCGAAGCGTGTAAGCGCTTCATCGCAGTGTAAGGAATAAACATTGATACGAAACAAAATTCATACGTATTATTAAAATTTCTATAAAATATCTGATAATTTGATGCGCATATGTCTAATGATCATTACTTTTTTCACTCGTTTTCTGAAACCCCTAGACCTGCCTCCGCAAAAATTCATTTGAAGGAAAACTTCATTTTGTCAATACAAATAAAATGTTTTTTGAATAACCATTAACCATTACCATTTTTGGCTCTTTTTGCCCTGAATCTTCAATACGGCTAGAACTGCCTTTGCAAAAAACTAATCAGCACGTCTCCTTATCAATAAGAATCGAATGCTTTTTGTATTATTCAAATCGGTTGATCCGAACGCCCGAAATCGTGGACAAAAAATTGTATATAACCATACATACATAAATACACACACAAACTCACATACATCATTTTTTTCTAAGGTATGCCAAAATGTTCAGAAACCTTTGAAACGTAAAGATATAAAACTTTCATGTTCGATTTTTTGGGATAACTAGAACTTACCCTATGGGAAGTTAATAAACTAGTTGAAAGTGGAATTTTGCCTTAAGGCAAATTGCAAAATATTCACAATAGGTGTACTAACTAACTTAATCAACGGAAATTGACAAAATTTTCAACTGCTTATTACAAAAATAAAATTTTCGATTTCACTAAAAACGAAAAATTATTTACAATTGGTATCTTTCACAGACATTTATAATATCTGTAATTATAGTAATTATTGTGCACAAACATGTGCTTGTCTGGCCTAAAAGTGATACCTATTATTCCTAATAAAGGTACATTGATTGGCTTCTAAATTTTTGAAATCGATCCAACCGTTTAAGGAAAAATGTAGACCAAAGATAAAAAAATCGGCTCACATTCATACACACACGACTATACTTATTTCAAACTTGATCTCAACCACTTCACAATGACTTAAACGTCGAACAAATAAAAATAGCGATTCGGATTTTTTTGCGAATGAAAACTTTTCATTCGGGAAGTTGGAGAATATCAATGTCCCAAATTTTTATATGCCTCTATTATTCCTGACATTGGCTTAGAATAATATTTATTACTAAGAATTATGGCTTGCTTATAAGTAACATTTGAGAATATTCGATTAGGGTATGGAGTCCATACTATGGTGTCTATTGACATATGTTGCAAATCATCAAAAACGTAAAAAAAATATTATGATGAAAAGGCCCAGTCGACTTTTACCAAGAACTAATCACCACTATAGTTCCCAAAATCTGTTCAGGCTTTCTTGCCAAAATGTGAACAAAATTTTTTGCATTTTTCTGCCAATTATAAAAACAAAGAAGTTGGTCGAATGTGCAAAACTAATCATCGCGAGTCCTAATGGAATATCATCGAATGGCTTCTAAATTTTAAAAAATCGGTCAAGCCGAGAAAAAGTGGATCGGAAAATTGGAAAAAAATATAGAAGAATTGGCTCACACACATACTTCGGATTAAACGTCGAGAAAACACAAAACTGGTAATTCGGTTTTTTTGGTAAAAACATAAACTCCTTCAAGAAGTAAAAAATAATAATGGTTTAACGAAAACAAGTTTTTTACATTTTTTAATAAATATAATAAAAAGTTGGCTATAACGTGCGCTGTACCTTGTATTTCCCTATCTATGATATTGCAAAACCATATGCAGTCTTATCTATGATTTTTTTTAAAAAATTGCATGGTCTTATTTATTAATTCGCTGGCAACATAGTAAAGGAAGTCGAAAGTAAATTCAAGTTTGGTTTGCTATCGGTGATACCAAATACGATTGAAAAATATACATAACATCGCTTTGAAGCACATAAGCCGCCGTAATAAATGATTATGAAAGTTGTGTCGTGCACATAATCTGCATAAATATTAAAGTAATGGTAATAAAACTAGCCGAGCCATTTAGATACAGGGACTGTAAATCTAATTATGCATTTGTGAAATAAATAGTTCTCCAAACTTCAAATAAATAACTAACATATAAAATGTGCTCCAAAATTCAAAAATTGATTTCAATAGTAAAGGAAATATGAACTAAATGGTATATATAGACAAAATGACACAGTGGCCTTATTTAAAAATTTGCTATTTAAATAACGTTCCTGCGACTGCATAATATGAAGATACAATCACACATGATCACAATCCTCTCAGATGTTGAGCGTCATTGTCAGAGTAATTTTAAACGTGCATCGCGCTTTCAAAAGTTTATTCGTTGTTATTTGTGAATATGTCCAATACAATCAATGAACTTATGCTACTCAGGATAATAGTAATTGCAATCAATTTCATTGAAATTATTAGGTGTTTGATGAAATTTTTATTATTTATTCATTTTTGTTCAAATTCGAGCAAAACAACACACTTATACAATGGATAAAGGTAATAGTACTATTTCGCAAAAACTACAGGGTAGATAGTTCGAGGTAAAAAAAATTGTCAAAAGTGACTGACTTGTAACTTCTACTTAAACTACTTCTAAAACAGACCGGTAAAAGGAAGAAATTTACATTTATTGCAAAGACCTATTTTTCTGATCTGAGCCCGACGAAAGTAGGTTACGATGTAAGATTTGTCCCTTTTTGGACTCATGGATGGGCTATGTAATGTTGTCCCAAAGTGGACCAAACAAAGTTGTTTGTAAACCGTCTTCTTAAAAAATAGTATCTCAGTTTATGGTTTACCCAATATGTCATTTTAACCATACTATATGGAGAAAATGGTTTTTGTAATTGGTTGCATCTTTTGTTAATTATTATGTTATTATAGTTCCTGTTCAATTTAAAGGCTTTGTTACCGGTAGTCAATGAACCAAATAAGAGTAAAAACGATTAAGACTAGGACTAGTACCATTGAATAAATGAATATCATTAAAAAGCAAAGCAAAATAATCATGTCATTTTGCCCAACTTTCCTTATTACATACAGGATGTCCCTGAACTCAACGTCAATCCGAAACGGAACAATAGTATTGAACATAACAATCATGTAAAAAATTAGAATAAAATATCTCAGTTTGCGAATTATGGGCTTTTAAGTTCAACCTAGAGCTTTGGTAAAAATGTGACCATTTTTCGATCAATATGGTAAATTTATAATAATTTTTTTCATTTAGACTTTAGATCCGTAATCGTAAATAACATGTCTAGGATCCCAGTCAAAAAGAATGATACGTGAGATAATTTGTTTCTAATTTTTTCATGATAGTTACGATCAATACATACTAATACCCTGTTTCGGCTTCATGTTGAGTTCTGGGACACCCTGTGAGAAGTTTTTTAAAACTTTTATAAAATAAACGTTTATAATTTCTGAAAACAAAACAATTTAGCGACATAAATGATAATTGACTTTTACATATTGTGCATTCTCATTTTTGGTGCATAGGTAAACATGCACTTAGATATATTTACATATCGATACTTGAATATTTGTACATTCAAATATTGATACAAAAATTTATCTAAAGATTCACATTTATATATGAATTTTTATACAGTTATGAGTTAAACTGCTTTTTTACTAGAAAACCCAAAAAACATTTATCGATTAAGATTGCAATTTTTTCTTATTCATAAAAATCTTATTTAGAGAAAAAAAAAACAATTTTAAAGAAAAAAATGTAATGGTAGTAACTAAAAATCGATGATTGTAATTAATTATTTCAACAATCTACAACTGGTTTGTTTAAAATTTTCATTAGTCATTCAATAGATTATATTAATTTACCATTCGAAAATAGAAACAGTTGTTTTATGTTTGGATACCGAAAACCATTAACACGAAACGAGTATTTTGATATTTGCAAACAAATCGTAATTAGAAAACTAACATTCATCTAGTTAATTATATACAAAACGATAATTACACTAAACATGAAATGAGGATAGTCATGATTATTGAGATAAATGGGTACTTTATTGTCAGTCGTAGATTTTACTCAAAAACCAGTAAAAAAATGTATACACTACATAATTACTCACATATTTAAACATCTATATTAAAACAAAATCAAATATTAAAATCAATTTTAGACAATAATTGCCTAAGGATGAATAATGATTAGTGGATCGAGTTTACAAATTCTTCTAAGAATTCTCTGAAGAAATTATGCATTTCTTTTCTTATCATTTTGTATATATTAGTAAAAATAGATGATGTAAGGTTTAAATTATTAAACAACTATTCGATTCTTATTAATAAATTAATGCAGATTCGATTTTGACTGAAAAAAATGCAATAAATTATAGAATGCATCAAATTAAAAAAAATAAGAGGACTTTTCACATAAAATTATTGGATTTAAGAATAAGATTTCAATAAGATGCATAATTATTATTTTTACTATGTTTTGGGTTACGTACTAATTTAAGGATCACTTATGAGGTCTAAAAAAGTAAAACTAATTTTTAATTTAGCAAGTAGATTTTAAATGCTGTTAAGAAGAAAAACGTATATGCGTGAAATTTAAAATTTTTAATTTTATTTAATAATTTTAAAAATTTTATTTAATGTTTGTGTGCATATCGTAAATCTATAGTGTTATTTCAAAAGCAAAAAATACTTAGATTTATTACAAATTCATATTTTTAATTATTGTTATATAAGAAAAATAGTTTCTTTCAAGCTTCAGAACAATGTCGTCATTGACTCGAAATTCGTTTCAACTTTTATAGACTTGTTAAATTATAGTACCAATTTTTTTAAAACAAATTCTTAACCAATTAATTGTTATCCAATTTCAAACAAGGTTTTGGTTAACAACCTAATTGTAATTGTTAAATTTAATTACCTATATGGTACGATTTTCTAACAGAACGACTTAATTATCAGACTCTTTAGATTAATCTTATGATGAAAACATGAAATAAAAATACAAAATAGAGAATTAACAACAAAATATTTTCGAATATAAAAATCGTATATAATTTTAGAAGTTAAAATAATATAATTACTCATTCTACCTTTTTATATTAATATAATAACTTTTTTAAAATAAGCACTCATTTCTTTTGTAATGACAAAACTGCCTTAGGTATACTTCGATACTACTTAGCATTTCTTTGAATAAATGTAATAAAAAACACAATAATTTAGAAAGTAACATTTCTACGAATTATAGATTATTTCCACGCATTTGGACAAAACATTATTATTATTATTATTCGTGTAACAATAATCATATCATGTAACCTTAGTATAAACCATATGTAGATTTCTCCTTATAATTTGATTGCAACCTCTATTATGATTACGATTCACGTGCTAAAACCACTTCAACAAATCAAATAATACTTATAGATACATAAATCTATTCATACTTGATATTAAACATCTGTTATTATCAAAATAAAAACATAATTATAATTGAAAAGCATCTTAACTATTGCTCAAGATTGCTGTTCAAAGAATAATGTTGCATAATATGATTTATTGTAGGCTGGGCGCGAATTCTGAAGATCAACAATAATTTGCTCCAGGCGAAATAATAAACCACATTGTGGGAAAGTGAAATATTTTGATTTAATCGAGATTTTAATATAAAGCCCTTTTCGATTGCATCACGAGGAATTTTCTGACTGGAAAAATGTGTCATTTGTACAATAGCAATTTTCTCTCAATAATTGCTTTTTGTCATGTTTATCATGTAAATTGGACTGAAATATATATATATATATATATATATATATTATAAATAAATATAGAGAGAAAACGAAAGATATAGGAAAAGAGAGAAGGGCTTACTGCAGGTAAAAAGGTCCCAAACCGATATCTCAAAAGCAAGTAAAGTTAGGAATTTTTAAACAACAATAATTGAAAGTAGAGGGCAAAATATGTATCACCAGCCAACACCTTGATTCTTACTACGTCTCAATCAGGAGGTGAACGGCAATGTTTAAAAATCCAAACAGAAGTGTTTTCTTTCTCTATAAGTTTTATGGTTGTGAGTAATGTTGTTTAGTTTTGCAGACCTTAATATAATTTTTTAAGTATACGTTATTTAATTGTTTTATGAGATGTATTGTTACTTTAAAATTAGATTCAACCGTTTTTTTTAATAATATCTCATAAGTGTTTGCTCATAAGTGGTCTTGTATTTCAGTTTGATCGTCAGTCGAATCTTTTCAGTCAGTACGAAATGAAGCTAAATAACCAGTAACTTTGCAAATCTTTCCAAAACTTTGACCGCGACGGTAGGGGAGGCGTAACTTTTTTCATTATTAATAAATCTAAAGCTATTTTCAGAATAAATAAATTTATTTTGAACTTACATCACTCGTATCCGACTGCGCCCTCAGTGAATTTCGTTTGAAATCTGTGCTGAGTCTCGCCTGTTTTGGCAAAGGTTCTTCTTCGTGGTCAGATTGGGAATGAGCCCACGATGGTGTCTGAAAATTTAAAGAAAACTATTAGTTACATACTTTACACAAACATGAGTCGTTAAATGTAATAGTAAAACTAGTGGAGCTTCCCATATAGTAAGTAATTAAATATTCGCGAAAAAAAATCAATTAAAATGTATCAATGAGTAATAACATGTGTATTAATTTAAAAACGAATATTATAAATCTAATATAAAATAAGTCGTTATATTTGGGCGATGACTTTTATCTATATTTATCTACAAGAACGAAAACATTTTATTTTATTTTATTTTAACAGATAGCCCACAGAATAGTTCCAAGAGGACTTAAAAATACAATTATCATACATATAATACGCATAAAACACAACATAGAAATAACCTAGAATAAGATGAAATAATAATACATATTTGAAACGAAATATAGAAAAAATATAAAAAAATTGAAAACATAACAAAAAAACACTGTCGACACAAAAGCAATATGCTTTTTGAATCACTGTAATCGGATGCGCTGTTTTCTCAAAAACTGCTACTTTTTACACTATTTGCTCTGTATCTTCGAAACCACAGGACCTGCCTCCACAATAATGTAATAAATTTTGCACTCAATCAATACAAATCAAATGTTTTTTGTATCATTCTATTCGGATGTGCCATGTTCTAAAAAACTGGTTGTTTTTGCGCTTCTTGTTCCGTAAATCCGAAATACCTGGACCTGTCTTTGCCAAAACATTAGCACATTTCCCCGTCAATACGAATGGAATGCTTTTTGAATCATTCAAATCGGTTGATCTGTACTACCGTATGATGGACAAAAAGGTATTCCAATATGTTCAGAAACCTTGTGTTTTTGAGTTTTTTTAAATTTAGATTATTTTAACATAATTCAAAATTTTTAAAAGTTGCTAATTTTGATTTTTTTCGAATTATCGAAGCGCGTAAGCGCCGCGGCGTAGTTAATCATTATAAATCTTGATACGAAATTCGTAGAAATGTAAATATGTATTTGATTATGATCTTATGTAAGTATTAGTTTCTACTGAACAGTCGTGAAAAATTAATTCTATGAACAATTTTTAAATTTAATGGTTTAAAATTTAATGGCATTCGAGACGAGACATAAATATCAAAAATCCAGATCATTAAAAAAATATATGAATCTATAGTTATTGATGCAGATTATCATTTAAATTGAGCTGAAATATATATAGATCATTTATATCATTTTGAGTAATAAAAATATTTTAAAATTTAATAGCAAAAAAACTTTTAATAGTAGGTACGAAATAACGATTTACCGTTAAGTAATTTCAGAAACGAATAAATCGAAACAGACTTTTTAATTCACAGAGTTCTTGAAATTAGTTATTTTGAATTTTACATTAGTTGCATTCCAGATCTGAGTAAATTAAATGTAGAAAATAAATTGATTTTAAATTATAATTCATCCAATTGAAATAAATAAAATTACATAGAAGTCAGTTGGAAAGATTTCAATTAAGCAGTTATAAACTAAGTGTAGTGAAGTTACACGCAAATAATTAAATATAGATTAAAATATCCTAAACTATTATATATTATAATTTGATTTTTGTACTCATTACCTTCAAAGTCAGAAATCTCTGACAAATCAAAGAATACATTTTCTAGCACGTTGTAATTAACTAAATTGAACATAAAATAACATATAACTAAAATACAATTATTCATAAAGTCTCAAAAAAATCAACAATCCAATCCAATCTTCACTGTATCCAGACATTATAAAAATATTTCAAATGATTTCTCTCTAAGTTTAAGTCTAATATGTTAAGAATTTTAAACACTAATTATGCAAAGCATTTTATAGATTATATAAAATTCCTTAAATAATTACAATATATCAGAATGTTGAATTGTTCATAAATAACAACAATAACCATTCTTATCTCAATGACAAATACTTTGCAGTAATATTTGTTAAATTTTTTTCTCATTAAATTAAAGTAATTCATTTGGACGCATTGTATTTGTGTGGCTTTCTAATTGGCGAAACTTACATTGTTTTTTATTGTAGTATTTTCGCATGTTTTTTGTCAAATAGTAATTTATCATTTTTAATTAATGTGTACGCGAGCATAATTCAATGAACCATTACTTTTGAAATACGCTGCATATAATTTAACTATATGCAAAATAATAATTTTTATTTTGTTCAAGAGAAGTTCGAAAAGTGTGTTTGTTAAATAAGTGGAAAACATCAAACTTTCGAAAAAGTGCAATGGTTCAATATTCTTCAACTCTTACTTTAAAATATGACTTACTAAAAATAGACTCACTAAATTTTGAAAAAAATCTAAGGAATTAGTGTAGTTCAATGCAAGTTACGATTAAATAATTTAAGTAATAAGTATAAGGTTCATTGTTGAGTTAATATTAATAACTTATTTATCAATATTATTTGCAGTGCAAATAAATGGCGTATTATGTCCTTATAAATTTCAACTCTATGAGAACAATTCTCGGATAAATTAGAAATACGATGTTACTGGTCTAAATCGTACTATAAAATTAATTACAAACTGAAGGTAATTACAAAATGTCAAAAGTCTATGTATTTGTTTTTCGCACGCATTTCACACATAAACACAACAAACAAAATCTAACCTCCAAAAGATGGAGGATCTTCTATGAGTTATTTACATTAATTGAATATAATATAGTAGTCACTCCAATGGGTAATTTATTTATTTATTTATTTATTTTTTAAATAAATAGCCCACACTTTAGTTCCAAGACTTAAAAATACAATTATTATATATATATATATATATATATATATAATTATATAGATAAATATAATATGTAGTATAATATATAAAGCACTTAACACAAAATTACACAAATACAGAATGTAACAATATTATTTAATCACATAGAATAAGAAAAGAACGATAATTGAAAAGAAATAAAAAGACTAATTTGAACAGATGGAGATTATTTATAGTAATTTGATTACTATTGGATACGATTTGTTGGATTGAGAATAAGCCATATTTTTTAAGTCTTCTTCATTTTGGAGTAAAAAACAGCGGAGCAACGAATGAATTTTCTAATTTGTGACAACAGAAAGTTGCACTTATGATAAAATTGTTACATATTTGACATTTGTGCATTTTGAAGGTTAGCTTTTATAATTGTCGAAGTATAAAGCTCTTACTAAAAGTCTGCAGTTATGATAAAAAAAAAATTCATTTAAAAAAACTGTTCTTTTTTATTGTATCCTTGAATATCCATTTGTTATATAAACGACTAACACACACACAGAACCCTCCCCCCCCAACGTCCTGGATTAGTATAACTGAAAATTGCCATCCCGGATTTGACATAAAAAAATTTGGTCACCTTAGTACTGAACGTCGAAAAATTCTTCTACAAAAATACAAAAAAACACAACTTGCTCTGTACAAAGAGTACAAATCGTACGTCTAATTCGTTGGTGTGTTAGTTTGCAGGGTTGATCGACCGCTTTAGTATCGACGACGCCCCCGTTGACTGCGTCTAATTAGCACTTGCAGACCACTAGGCATACCACTAACGGGCCAGCTCGCGCTACACTCTTAGGACAAGGATCGGTGGGTAAATTTGTTGCATTTTTTTCATATGACAAATCTTTATATTCTGTCTATTATAATTCACTTACGGCGTGGTAAATTTACGAAAACAAAAAAAAAATTAAACAACAAATTAATAGTTCATGGGATAGTGCCTTAAGGCAAAATGCTCAAACTTCCCATACCAAATTTAAAATTCTTAAAATCCTTAATATTTTTT